TTGTAGTTGTGTTCTTCATCCTGAGCTGGTCTTAACCCCTTCGCGCCGGGAGACGGTAAGAGCCGCCATAAAAATTGAGATCCTCAGCCCGCTTTTCAGCTATTCTCTGCCCACGCTCGAGTGAACACAGTGAAAGAAGGCATATCCTGGCTCTTGTATATATGGTGATTGACCTTTGTGTGTTGCCAAGAAATGAAAAGGCCGAATTTTCATCATAATCACCAGCTTCACAATAGTCCACACTTTGAAAAGAGGCAACGGGAATGTGAAAGCGTGAATAGAGCCGCATGCCACCGAACAATCAGCCTTTTCAGCTGTGTAATTCAAAGCGTGCCGAGCACGCAGGGCCACAAACCGAGAATTTGCGGTTTGGCAGGTGGCCTTCGTGGTCAAGCGAGGCTGGAATTCTTGGAGTCGGCTTTCGGAAAAAAATTCCCATCGTCAAGGGGTTAAACACACATTTAAGACCTGCCAAGCATATATTAATTCCCTAATTAATCATTGGACATTCAGTATAAAGATGCTTGTGGATGCCTACTTTGCTGTCAATGGTACTCCGCTATTTCTGTCTGTCATACCATCATAACTTTGGACAGCCTAGGAGCACGACTGAAATCAACCAACCAACTTACTTGACTGCTTACAAATGCACTTGGACATGCATGTCTTCCAAATATCCTGCATGCTCAAGGAATGGTGCACTGTGACTAGACTGTTATACAATATCCTACACCTGTGTTACCCTTTTGGCAAAATTTGTGAAATTTTTAAAAATCAACTTACACAGAGTCATTGTTTTAAATTCCAAAGTGTTGAATTTTCTTGAAATAGAAGTGTGTTTTGAGACTATCAGTTATTTCCAAAACTTTGCACAATTTGTCAATGTTTCTTAACCTTTGGCTGATTCCTTACTTGAAGCAAGGCACATTTTGGAGGATTCAATTGTGATGAAACTATGAAGCCTTTATCCTAGTTTGATTGATAATTCATTTTTGTGTTTCGACAGACACACTGTCCAGCAGGTGTCTGATCACTGGCTAAACTATCGAAGCTGGCGGCGTGAAGTTTGTCATGATTCAGATGATACCAGACCATCCATCCAACCACATGACCTGCAACATACTGTCCACAACCTGCAAGTTGAATTTGATGAGTTCTTCTTCAGGGCTACAAAATGCATCATGTCTGCTCCAAGGTATGGAAGTACATGTTTCAAGAAATAGAGATTTCTGTCAATGTCAGAGAGTGGCTAAGCAAACAGTATGGCTATTGGTATCAGACATTCTATCAGACTGCCAGTGATCCATTTCAACTCACTTAAAGCTGCTGTTTCAGCCGAGCTGTTATTGAAGTTGAAATTTTATTATTGAAATTATTAAGCATGTCTCGTATGTAGGGTAACTGAGATGTGCTGAAAAGTTTTGTTAAAGTTTTTGTAAAATTGTTTCAGAAGCAAAGCTATGCTCTTTGACTGAGATGTTGAACTTGTTTTGTTGGTTCAAGAAAGTGAAAGACATGGACTCCTGTTAAAAATGTGGTACTTAGAGAATGATTATTCAGGTGAAATTGATTGTATTTCTGTGCTTTTCTTTTTCCTTTATTGTTTTTTAATGACAGGCTAGGCACTTGGCAGTTTATGACAGATATGCCATACACCAGCCTCTCATCCACCATGATGTGGCGTCTTCTCTGGTCTCTACATCAGGATGACATCAACCAGTTGATAATAGAACCTGGCCAAGTAAACAAGAAAGACAACTATAGATGGCAACTCTCAGGTATGGTTATAAGATCAGTGTCTAAAAACAACTCAGGACCAGGTTGGAGAAACTCAGACCATTGTAACCAGCCCCAAATCATGATGAGTCTTGGTCATAAAGGACCTCTGCTGTAAAGAGACTCAGATTTATGATCTTAAACTAGGTGATATCATTCTCAGAAATACACTTGTGTTTCACCCACATTTTGTTTAAATAAATATGGATTTTTGTTCACAGTAACAAATGATAACAAAAGAAGTTTGAAGGTCAGCATTGATAGAATCATGTATTCAAGGAAATAACTCTTGGTGTCACTCTTTTATAGTATTTTTGATGAAGTTTTGCCTCTGGTCTTTCCTGCCCTCTATGATACAGATCCAGTCAAGAGGGACAGCTTTGTCCATAAGCTGATGGATATGCCCATGTCAGAGGTCATCTACCTGCTGACCACATTTGCCAATATGACCAGTGCTCGGCCCGCTGCCGAGAAGATGTTCATCAACTTTGTTGTGGATGAAATTTACGAGGTTGAGTAGTAACATTGGGTTTAATTATCTGACATATTTGTTCTACATTGTAATTAATTGTTGCAAAGTCTATTTGTCATTAATACCATAAATATGAATCACACAAAAAAGGTTATGTAGACCTGTCCATCTTTAAGAGGTGGCATGTGCACCATTCAGAGTGCAATTGATTTGATGGTAAATGTGAGTCCCATTATGCTACTTGGTAGTTCCAGTGCTGAAGCAAAGCCGTTGAATACAAGTGTAATACATTTTTAATCAGTAGCTATGAGAGCAATTGCTTGAGGTTGTAAACAAGGACATGTATTTATCATCTCTATGCTTAGAACACAGAATGTACATCTTGCACATGTAGGCATTTGAAGTAATCCTCAAGTGCATTTAAAATGCTGGGTTGCTGATCTAAATCTTGGGAAGCTTCACTTTTTCTGATGCCAGTGGTAAAATGACTAAACCTTTTTTTTGTCAGTTGTCCTACCTACGAACCCATACCAGGGAGTTCTGCTCCAAGATTGGTCGAGAGTTGCTGTCGGCCATAGCAACCACACATCCCTTTGTCATCTCAACGTTACTCCGTCAGGTCCAAGGAAGCGCGAAGGAAGTTGGCATGGTATGACAGCATTACCTCCTTATTTTGACATACAATGTACAAGACTTTTGGGGCTCTAAACACACTCTGTAAAACCTTGTTTTCTAACTTAACCCCTTCATGGCGGGATTG